TTATGCAGACTACGCACAGGAAGCATGCTGCGCACCTGCGTGTGGTGTTCACTCATGAGTGACTAGATGGAGAAAGGCAGGATAATGCCCAACAGAATAGTACAAGAGACACCATTCCATCATGTGGTGCAATTTCTGCAGGGACCATGATGATGAGTGGCCACATGGCTTCATGCATGAGGGCTGAACAGAGGCTGCCCTCTCAGGACACATGGCGAGGTCAGTAGAGAGTGGCTGAGACAGAGGGTGGGAGGGGACCGATCATCAAGGCGGAGCTGAGTCGCAGCGAGGGGAGGCGGACCCCGCCGTGATCCCAGCCTCAGGGCTCACAGAGGTAGGGACAGCTAAGGGTTTGTAGTCTGTTGTCCAGAACAGCCAGGAGAAAATGTGTGGGTCCTCAACTGAAGAGATGATGGGTGATGAGCGATCAATGACCAAGAACCTTGCGTTGGTCAGCACAGGCATACAAATGTACGCGAGTCCACACTACATCCTGGAGAAGGACACAGTTAGAGATGCACAGCTTTCACAGTGCAAATATGAAAAGGTGAAAAGGACGATAAATAAAAACTCTGCCTCTGTGAAGTTTAAAAATGTGGAACAAAGTACTTTGTCCACCAATGGTTTCAAACTCAAAATGAAATTAAGCCTGTCTGCAGCATGAACTATAAAGTAGCCGAGGTTTGCACAGTTGTGCTCATGTTTCTGGTGACGCACAGGACCTGGGCTCAAGCCAGGGGCGCCGCACCGGTGAGCTGCGTGCTCAGTCCTGCCCATGCTTTTATTTCAGACGTGCTCTCTACATTGCTCGGGCTGGATTTGCGTGTGCTGTGCTCCTGCCTCGTCCTCCTGAGCAGCCACAATTACAGGGCTGTGCCCCCAAGCCCAGAAAGTATCTGTATTGTAATACCTACAGTAACAAGCGTCCCCGGTAATATTACCTTCAGGGGAACTTAACATGACACAGAGCAGTTGATATCTAGAGAAGCCAATACTGACACTAAGAAACTCCATGGATTTTCAAGTCCAGCAGACTACCAAAAACAAGATAAATGCATTGCTTTACATTGCAAGGCTTCCATTTCCACTGGAAATGACACCTTCAGTGACAGCTCAGCTGTATTCTTCTCTCTCGGCCATGCTCCTGGAGGCCTCTGCTCTGCTCCCACTCTCCCTTTCCCCTAGCTGTCACACTGATGCTCCTGAGGCCCTGACCCCTCTCCACATGAAGCCTCAGCTTCCCTACGCCTAGACACCTGGGCCCAGTACAGAGGACGCTGGGTAGGCAATGGGGACCTGAACCACAGGCAGGCTGGCCTCTTCCCATTGCCACAGCCGAGCTACAGTGCAGCCAGCAGGACCAGCAGCATGGGAGGGGGTCCTGTGATGCTGGACTGAACCTCAGCTGTGGCTGCCTTCAGTTTGACACCTCTCTCTCTCTCCCCCAGATGGGCCTGCACCCACTTCTCATGACTCCTGTGGTATGCAGAAGTCACTGTGACAAATACCGAGCTCAAAGCCACCCCAGGGGGCTGAGATGGTGGTGCAAATAACTGCTCAGCCTAACTTCTCAGTCTTTTGATGAAGTGGTCTGCCTAAGTTAGATGTGGAGAGCTTCATGCGTACTTAGCCGTGACAGCCGTGTACACTGCCTGAACACTCAGGAACGCAAGGATCTCAGAAGCGAGGGAAGCTTGTGTCTGGTTAGCAATTGCACGGGACCCATGAAAGTGTAAACATAATTCCCCTGGGGTGGCCTCAGGCTGTGCCTGAGCACACTCTCGATAGCGAGCTGTGGAAACAGCACGATTGGGCCGTGGATTATTTCATTTTCCTTTTTTTTCAGGATTTTCCCTTATTCTCAATCAAACAGACACCCCCGGCAGGATGACTCCCAAGACAGTGGGGAGAAGTGCATCTCTCGGGGCGCTCCCCTCTGCAGTCCCAGCCCTGAGCTCATTATGCGCCCGCGCAGCTCAGGCCCCAGAGCGCCCAGCCCAGGACTCTCAGGAGGCCTCCGCTCCACAAATGCCCTGCCTGGTGGATTCAGGGAGCTGTGCCTCGCTGTGGATGGAGCCTGAGCCTTGGGGGAAGCTGCGTCCCCGAGCCCGGCCCCCGTGTGACCATTGCCAGCTCCACCTGCTCTACAATTCTGCCTCTTCAATATCAAGGCGCGTGAGGGGAGGCTTAGCTATTCTGGGCCACATGTGCTAACCCTCGAGTCTCCCCCAGTTCTGAAGTTGATCTTCTCAGCTCTCCAATGAGGATGAGTTGCTCAAGAGGGTTGGAGGGAGCTGTTGTAAGCCCCTTGAGAAGATTATCTTTCTCAACCCCATCTTTTTTCTAAAAAACAAATTTTATTTTATTTATTTAATTTATTTATTTATTTTTATATGTTCAGTACAGGGTTTACAGGGACTCACTACAGATCAGACTTGTAGTGATCCTCCTGTTTTCAGCCTCCCAAATGGGATTACAGGTGAGTGCCACCACGCCCTGTCCCCGTCACAGTCTCAGCGTGCCCCGGGGCAGGGCCTGCATGGCATGCCCACAATTGAACCCTGGTTGCTGCACCCGCCTAAACAAGTGCTCCAATCCACTGAGTTATCTGGCAGCCCTTCTCAACATAATCTTGATCTCTATTCCCCCATCATTATAATTCTTTTCATAGTCTTTTCCAAGATACATATATGATATACATATATCTTGATATACAGATAGCAAGAGATAGGCAGGCAGGCAGACAGACAGACAGACAGACAGACAGACAGACAGACAGACAGACAGAGAGACAGAGACAGAGACAGAGACAGAGACAGACAGACTAGAGATGAGGAGGTTGCTGGCAAGGAGGGGAGACAGAGAACCCTAACATCCCAGCATACAATGAGCCTCCAGAGAGGAGCAAATGCTGATTGGGCTGTCAGATAAAATCAGCAGGAAAAGAGACAAAATCTCTGCCATTCTGTGGTTACATGAGGTTAGCTTAAGATGACAGGATTTCAACCAGAGCATCAGGTAGCATTTAGGACAAGGATTTGCCAGCGACCCAGGGGGCTCTGCATGTGAGTGGGCTTTGAGGACGCAGACCAAAGACCAGGGCAAGAGAGGCAGAGGTGCTTGGGTGAGGCTGAGGAAAGGGATGAGCAGGCAGCTGCGAGCAGCCAGCACCGTGCCTCTATTCACAGGGATGGAAGAGTTGTTACAGGCAGGCTGACCTCCAGAAAGACGAAAGTGCACGTCAAATCCTGGAAAAGCTGAGAACCCGGGATTTGTCCCTATGCATTGCATTGTGTGTGCACAGGGACATAAGTAGGAAAACTTAAAAACAATCATGTAATGACAAGTTTCTGTTCATTTCACTTTGTTTTTGGAGTGGTGGGAGTGACCACAGGGCCCTGCCCGTGCGGTGGAAATGTTCTGCCTACATCCTCAGACTAAATAAAGCACTAAATGCTTAAACGTTGGTCAGGGTGCTTCCAGGACGCTCCTGGGAAGAAGGTGAGGCAAGAGCCCGGTGGCAGAGTCCCCACGGGCCCTGGGAGGCAGAGCAGGAGGCTGTGCGACGGCGTGCAGAGGAGCCGGTGCCCGGAGGGTGTCGCAGGAGACGGTCGCCCAGAGCCAGTGTCGGAGGCAGAGGGACAGCGACTGCGCGAGGCGCCCTCTGCATGGTCGGGGCCAGGCCGGGCAGGGGCTGCGGTGGGGGGCAGCGTCAGGGGCAGCGTGGGCGCGACGCCGGGACGCGGAGGGGCCCTGAATTGAGGGCCACAGTTTCTGAAGATGACTCAGGCAAATGTCCAGGAGGAACAGACAGCGGCACGCCTCTGGGATGAGTTACCCAGGAAGGAGAGAGCCTTTGGGGCGACACGTTCGCTCTCGAAGGTCGTACAGAAGGGCGTCAGGGTGTTTCCCAGTATCTGTGACTCCGCCAGCCCAAATGCATGCAATTCTGTTTTGCGCAGAGAAAGGCTCTCTCCAAAATGTTCCCTTTCGGTGCCTGGCTTTTTTAGCTGAGCGCGCTGGCTCCGGGCTGCCGCACCTGCCCGCAGGACGAGAGGCCTCGCTTCGCAGCTGCGCGCCGCTGCAACGCGTGCACCGCCGCGGTGTCCTCGCCCGCTAGCGCGCGCGCCCACCCAAGTCAGCCCTCCCGGTGCGGAGCAGCGCCTCGGGGCTGCTGGCAGTGCTGCACTCCCGGCCACAGATCGGCCACGCGCTCTCGGTGCCCTTCCAGGAAGGCTGTGCTCTGGCCTCGCCTGCTGCCCAGGGGCGCAGCAACCCACCCCCGCGCCCACTGAGGGAACAGTTGAGTCTTACTGTCTGATTTTCCTGGAGGAAAGAATCATTGTGTCTCTGTCTTGTAATCTGACTACTTGGAAGACAGTGATACACTGTGTAGTGACTATTGTTATTCTCTTACTTTGTTATGAAATTTTCTTTCATGCATAAAATTAAAACTTTTTTGAAAAATATATAATATATCCAATTGTTATATACTGTCTAAACAAAAAAAAATGGAGAAAAAATAGCATGGTATCTTTAGAATTTTCATACTCTGAAATTTATTTCTTAAAAATAGAGGCTATGCACAATTTTGCTCACAATTTCCTTCACTGCCGCTGTCTTAGGTGACGCTGCGGAGGGTTTTCGGTTCCCCTTGGTTCCAGGTTCCCGTTGGTTCCAGAAGCCAGTTCCCCTCCCGAGGGACAACTGTCGGCCCCGCAGACTCCCCCTGCGGGCGGCTCTGACAGCTGACCGCCAGGAGGCGCTGTCCTGTGGCTCTGTCCCTCCGGACCAGCGCGTCCCGAGGGTGGGGAAGGACACAGGCCCTGGCCTCAGGGAACCCGGCTCAGCCCGAGGCTCCGCTCTCCCTTGTGCATGGCTCAGCGTCCTTGTTTATATTACAAACATACACTGACAAGATGAAGGGGAAAGAGGAAAAGTAAAAGCGGCATTTCTCTGTAAAATCTGTCCCTCTCCTTCCAGCAGTAAACGCAGGTGCCATGGAGAGGGAAAACGTGAGTTTCCCCAGCACCTTTGTCCTGCTGGGCTTCGCGGAGTTTCCCTGGCTGGAGATGCCCCTCTCTGCAGTGGTCCTGCTCGCCTACCTGCTCGCCCTCGTGGGGAACGGCTCCATCATCCTGCTCTCCCTGCTGGACCCCAGGCTCCAGACGCCCATGTACTTCTTCCTGGACAACCTCTCCCTACTGGACCTCACTGTGACCTGCACCACTGTGCCCCAGCTGCTGGCCAACCTGTGGGGCCCGGACAAGACAATCGCCGCCTGGGGCTGCGTCACACAGGTCTGTATTTTCAGCTGCACTAGCTGCACAGAATGCATCCTGCTGGCTGTGATGGCCATTGATCGCTACGTGGCCATCTGCCGGCCTCTCAGGTACACTCTCCTCATGCGCCCCTGGGTGTGTGTGCAGATGGCAGCTGCCTGCTGGTGCAGTGGCCTGGCCAATGCCCTGCTCCAAGCCACCCTCACCCTCCAGCTCCCCCTCTGTGGGACCCACACCCTGGACCACTTCTTCTGTGAGGTGCCCGTGCTCCTCAGGCTGGCCTGTGGGGACACCACCGCCAATGAGCTGGCCCTCACGTTGCTGTCAGTCCCATTTGGAGTGGCTCCTGTTCTGCTGGTGCTCGTCTCCTACACCTTCATCGCCAGGGCTGTGCTGAAGCTGCCTTCAGCTGAGGGGAGGCGCAAGGCTCTCAGCACCTGCAGCTCCCACCTGCTGGTGATCACGCTGTACTTTGGGCCGGGGATGTACTTATACCTCCAGCCTTCAGCCAAGAGTTCCCAGGCCAAGTTCATGTCCTTCTTCTACTGCGTTATCACCCCTGTGCTCAATCCCCTCATCTACACCCTGAGAAACAAGGATGTGAGGACCGCGTGGAAGAGGATCCTGCAGCCCCAGCATGGACTAACGTCTTTAAAAGCCAGACTACCTCTGTGTGTCTCCTGAGCAATCACACGTGTACACTGATGGATAGTGGTTTACTCTGCTTTTACAAATCAGTAACTGTGAGTTTTGGGAAAGCGTTCCTGCGTCTCCAGGTCAGCACTTAGGCTACTGGAAGCCCTTCGGACTATAAAGTTCTGTCATCTTTACTCTAACAGGTCTGCATCGTCCTGACCTTGTCCTTTCATGCGTGTCCCATCTCCATAGACAGCATGAACAGCATGGCTTACACATCGTCGGATAATTGATTCTCTGTTCCTTGCTCTTTTCTTGCTCTTTCTATTCGCCTGTTTCAGTATAATTATCATGATTTATTAATTATACAGAACAACGATTTTCACGTCCTAAACCTGAATTTTCATGTCTTAAATTAAAATGGATCGAAGATCTAAATATTTTCAAAGGAACAACCTAGCAGAGCTCTAGCTCCAGCCCGGCCACTGGGTGTCTCGAGAGACCCGCCTCCTTCCCACCAAGGCCGAGTCGGAGCCTCCGGGAGCTGTGGGCCACGCGGATGTGGCAGGGCTAAGCACACACGGGCACGGAGGGCCTGGAGAGCACAGACCACAGCACTGCGGCCGATTAATAAGGAACCCGCGATTGGGCCCGGGACCCTCCAGCACAATGTTCTGCAGGCCCGGTTGGGGATGATGTGTTCCACTGGCAGGCCTCCATTGTGGGACCTAATGACAGCCCGAACCAAGGCGGCGTATTCTTTTCCACAATTCACTTTCCTACCGACTACTCCTTCAAACCACCTAAGGTTGCATTCGCAACAAGAGTTTATCATCCAAACGTTAACAGCGATGGCAGCATTTGCCTCGATATTCTGAGATCACAGTGCTGTCCTGCCCTAACTATTTCTAAAGTTCTTTTGTCCATTTGTTCACTGCTGTGTGATCCAAACCCAGATGACGCCCTAGGGCCAGAGATTGCACGGATCTACAAAACAGACAGAGACAAGTACAACAGAAAATCTCGAGAATGGACTCAGCAGTGTGCCCGTGATGCTGCCTTAGAATCACATTCACCTGCGTTGTAGCTGGAATACACCCTAAATTGCTGTTCCTTTTTTGATTTTCTTATCTGGCTGCTCCCCATCAGACCTCATCTTTTCCTAATTTTATTTTTTACCTCCCTCCGTTCATTCACATGCTCATCTGAGAAGACATGTTCTTCCAGCTTTAGATGATAACTGCTTTTAAAAACTGTAAAGCAGTTACAAGAGAACAGGTGCTCAAGATTCAGAAATTTCTTAAAAAATGGAGCATGTAGGCTGACCAAATAGCTCAGCACATTAAAGTGCCTGCAAGCAGGTGCAGAGGCCAGGGGTTCAATCCTCAGGCCTGCCATGCTAGCCCTGTTCTTGGGGCATGCTGAAATGGCAATTGAGACTGGGTGTGGTGGTATGTGCCTGTAATCCCCACTCTTGGGAGGCTGTAAACAAGTGGATCACTATAAGTCCAATCTAGTAGTGAGACCCTGAATACCCTGTAGACCCTTCCCTAAGATTAAACAAAAAAATGGAGCATGTGTATTATGTGGCCAATGTTTTCACTCTAACTTGGTTGAGAGACTAAACCATTCTTCACAGCTCCAACTGCTGAAAAAGCCATGGGGGGGGGGATGGATACTCGGTGATCTCGGCAGGGAAACAGCATTATTGTAGCAGCATTCCTTCTCGTTAAGCCTTCCACTGTTAGAGACTTGAGGTTACGTGATATACTTTATGCTCATAACTGATGTGGCTGGAGAATTGGTATTGAACTTAGAGCGTCAGCAGAACAGAAAATGTGATGTATTTTATGCATGTCAATAAAGGAATGACCTGTTCTTGTTCTACAGAGAATGGAAATGGGAGTCAAATATGCTTTGTACTCCAAAGTAGGGCCTCAAAACATTGGATAATTTTCATTTAAACTGTTAGGAGGCTTGGAGCTAATAGTTAATCTATCTTCCAATACACTGTTTAACATAGCACTGAGCAAATGATGCAAGTTGTCAATGGATGAGGGATCAACTAATAACTCTGCTGGTAATTGATTAATTTTTCTTCAGTAAAGTTGCATAAACCTATGAGTTAGCTGCCTGGATTAATCAGTATGGGGAACAATTTTGTAAATGCAAAGCTGTTTTGTTGCTGTTGCTTTTGTATATGCCATTGGGATTTGCTTCATTGTTTGACATTAAATAATGATGTAAAATTCCAGAGTGACTCACTTTCTGACTTATGCAGAACTAACAAGCTTACTCAGATGGTGTAGCTTCGGTGTGCTGCACACTGGATCCTGGCGGCCTTGGAGATCAGAGGTGGACTTGGGGCCCAGCAGCTTTGACGTGTGTGTACAGAGCTGAAGTTTCTCTTCCGGGTGCATCCTCCATCTAAAATCTCTTCACACTGTATGCTTGAAACCTTCAGGAAACCATAAGGTGAGATTAATAGCGGGTTAAAATTCACACAATAAAGTACACTGCTTTGGTGAAAATAAAAATAAAAAGGAACAGCCTGCTGCAGGTAACCCAGGCACAGCGCTCAGCTAGCGAGGCCTGTGCAAGGACTTCCAGGGCAGAATCCCAGCAGCACAAGAGCTAATGCTGAAAGTCAACAAGTTGGATTGCATCAGAGTAAGAGACCTCTGCAGTGAAGGAACCAGCCAACAGAACGAAGAGACAGCCTACAGGATGGTAAAATTTTAGCAACTATTCCACTGATGGAAAGTTAACATCTAGAATAAAGAAAGAACTCAAAAAAATTAGACCCCCAGAATAAAAGACTCAGTCAAGAAATGGGCAACCAATATACACACAGGTTTCTCAGGAGTCCAGAGGCTGCTCAGTACAAGAGAACTTCTTCCACATCATTGGCCACTGCAGAAATGAAAAGCAAAACTACACTGAGAGACACCAAACAAGAGCCATCATCAAAGAACCTACTAATGACATCCTACTAATGTTGTTGTCTTGAGGAATCTCTACACTGATTTCTACAGTGGTTGCCCCAGTCTAAATTTCTACCAACAGTGAAGGATTTTTTTCCCCACAGACCCTCCAGCATTTGTTATTAGTTGATTTCTTAATAATAGGCACTCTTCCCAGGGTGAGATGGAATTTCAGTGTTGCTTTAATTTGCATTTCTCAAATGACCAGTGATGTTGGACATCTTTCTCATATACTTCTTTGCTGTATTTCTTCATCTGAGAAATGTGTATTCATTTCAGTTGCCCGTTTTTAGATTGGGTCTTTGAATTTGGGAGGTCTAATTTTTTCCAATTCTTTATACATTCTAGATATTAGTTCTTTGGCTGAGGGACAATTGACTAAAATTTTTCCCACCTTGTGAGTTGTCTCTTGGCTGACTTCTTTTTCTGTGCAAAAGTTTTTAATGAGATGAGATCCTAGGGCTGATTTGCTGTATTATTTCCCACAAACAATCAGGCGAGGCTGAGGGAGAGTCACGCTCCTGACTCGAAGCTGTGCTACAGAGCTGCTGTGGTAAAAACAACACGGCACAGGCAGAATAACAGAACCAAAGCTCAGCAGAGCAGATTCAAAGGTGCAGGGAGAGCTCCAGACGTCCTCAGCCACCTTGTCTCTGACGAAGGTGCCAAGCACATCACTGGATGGAAGAAAGGCTCTCTAATGAATGGTGCTGGGAATTAGAAGTATTCTTGGGCCAACTTCAAATCTTCATGGTTCTGGACTAACTCAAGGACTTATGCCCTGAGACAGCCACAAACACACTGAGCAGCCTGCTTCTCTTCCCAAGATCTCTGTGTCTGAAACACAGGCCTTTCTGCTCTGGCAGCTGCCAGGACATTTCATTCACTCATTTTAACCAATTTATTTGAGTTTTCAAATTCACGTATATTTTGTTGTTAATTTTCTTAGTCAATTATATACTCTGGATAGTGTGTCCTCGTCAGATGAACACAAGCATTTTCCCTCATTGTGCACATTGTCTCTTCACTCTCCTAATTATCCCCGAATATTTTACTTTGATGTTATCTGAAGGTTCAACAGGTGCAAAATCACAGCTTGTCAGAGGCAAGACCGCCGTGGCACGCTGAGATGTCGACTGGGGATAATAATATCATGTCATGCGTGAAGAACAGCAGGCGGATGCAAGTGTCCTCATCCAAGGCAGAGACACATTTTTGCAGTGGTGAAGAAACTAACTATCCTGAGTTGGTCAGCACCCAGCGCACATAGCACTTAAACGCAGGATGACGAAGGATAAGGAAGATTACAGACAGTTCATGGTGTGAGCGGTCCCCCAACAAGTCCAAAGTCACAGGTTGCCCTGGTGTCGAAAACCCCTGCCTAGACGTGCACTTTGCCTCGTCTGATCCAAATCAGATGAAAAGCTGACTTGAGCAAGGACAAACATTAGCTCAGTTTAACAACTGCTATGCACGGTGGCCGTGCTGCACAGGCGCTAGCTGGCTCAGGGCCGTGCAGAGCGTCCGTGCCTGCATGCCCGTGACATGTGTGCACCTGGTACAGCCGGGAACTTGGTGCCTGCAGGGACGGCAGCCATGCAATGTCATCGCCTGAAGAGAAACCCCCGCATATGGAACTCCCTGCTGACATCCTGCATAGCTGCAAAAATACTGCAGAACGGGCCACGTGTGACCTTCCTATAGCAGGAAAATGAATCATTCTATCAGCTCAGCAAAAAGAAAGTTGGCCACCACGGTGTTAAAAGAAATTTGTACTCTGATGATTTTAAAGTTTAAATAAAGTCATACCTCTCTAAAGAATAAACAATAAGATGAAAGCATAATTGCACTTGGAATACTTCTGGAAGCAATTTTCCACTCCTTTCTTAAGCAGAATGATTTTACTTTCAGAAGATTTCATTCCAAGGTTACAAAGTAGCTGTGATGCTCCAAAAGCAAACCCTGACCCTGCAGAGGTCCGTAAAGACACGTGGGAAGTCTGGCGGACTGCTGAGAACAATATAAATCATTTTTCTTCCAGGATTCTGGCTTCAGTGCAGATGA